TTTCTTCAGCAAAAGAATTAAAGCCTTATTACTTCAGTTTCTTGAACAAACATGCTATCGTTGTTGTTGTTGTGTGTGGTGACTCCAGGAAGGAGTGGACACCTACATGATGAACGACTATGTGGGCATCAGTGGAGGACGGACGGTGAAAAGAATCTCTCTGACACTGACTTCCTAATTTCTTTTATTCATTACATTCCTAAGTTTAATGTTTTTTCTTTCCATTCCATGCATGTGTTTTTTGTGTGGGGTAAAGTAATTTCTAGAAGAATGGTTGATTTTACGCGTGTAGATATATGTACTGCTGAATTTAATTTGCAATGCATGAAATTGGTGTGTCAACCATGGGTGTGTTTTGATATGCGACATCTGGGACCTCAGAGTTCCACTCTTTATCTAAACATTTTTTGTTGCGGGTGAGTGTGTGGTTGAACACACATGAAGAATTTCTCACTGGGACGAAGGTGAGAATTATAAGACTCTTGCATTTTATTCTTTTGGAAAGGAGCTTGAACCCCCATTTGCATGTTATCACATTGTTAGAGCTTCTAAAATTTTGGACTCAATTGCCTTTATGTTTGTGCTCAAATGTTTATATAGTCAACATGTGATCTTTCTAAATAACATACATATGTACGAGAAGTATCATTCTCAATTGTCAACTCTCTCTTAACAATAATGCTTCTTTGATGTCACAACATGAGTGACCAGATTCCGGAAGTGAATTTCATCATAATGCATTTTTAAAATTCTATTTATATTTTAGGTGGGTGATGGACTCGCATGTGATATTTTTTTCTCCCGTTGCAACGCACGGGCATGTTTGCTATGTTAACCAAAACAGTTACATTAAAAGCTCGGAAAATTTGATGCTATGTACTATAAATTACATCTATGCTATTCACTATTAATGGTAGGAAATTGTGTAGACAAACACATGCTACTCATTTGTAGCAACGTCTACTTTGCTCCGTAGCGAAGCACGAACGTTGTGACATTGTTGCCACTGTTGATGATGGCAAGGAGAAGGATAGGCGGTGAAATGGGTGAGATGTCATGTTGAAAAAGAGGATGTCGACCTGTGAGAGGCCTTTAACCATAATTGTTGGGATAGGGGTATATGCAATTATTTTTATTTCGTTGCAACGCACGGACATTTTTGCTAGTAATAATAAAGCACAGATTGACTTTGTCGGGTTTACCGTCACAATATGCTTCCGCCCAGTCGTAATACGCTTTTATGATTCGTATAGACAAAATTGTAATATAAACAAGGTGGTACTAATTTGGGGATGTCCTATATACGTGCATATTGTTTTCGCATGTTGTTCAATATTGTTAGGGCGGCGCGGGCCGGCTCGGTCGCGTGGAGGTGCGGCTGCTCGGCGAGGCTTCGGCGGGGGCGCGGCTGGGAGCGGTGCGTTGGTGAGGCTTCATCGAGGGAGCGGCTGGCGCTAAGGGGCGGCGCCGGTGCTCCCGGACTTCAGGCCACGCACCTGGATCTGGGCCGGCGGGCGGTGACACCATGCATGCATGGATGGATCAAGTACGCCGGCGGTGACCTTGATGGCCAACAAATTAAAGACGGGATCTTGAACCCGGCAGCTAATGTATGTCATGGGATGGATCATGGAGCCACACCACACCAGCGCACCCATGGGTGCGCGCTGTACAGCACGGCGGTCGGCACTGTCGACCCAAGTTACGTACCTGCCGGCCTGCCGTACGTCGTGGCCTTTGAAGATTGAACCTGTCCGTGGCGGCGAGCATTGACCACGCACGTCAACGCTGACGCCCAACTCCGAGAACGCAACCGACGTCGATGTCCAAAGACATAAATATAGGAGCTTGAACCCGCTGGGTGATGCTCATGGGGGAACGACTACAGAACCACCGCGACAGACGCATCCATGGTTGCCGCGCCAGCCAGCCAGCACCGGCGACCCAAGTATGGTCGCAACGTCGTCGTGTCGAACCGCATAGCCGGCGAGCAAGGTGAATGTGAAGGGCCAGCTCCGTCCGAGAGCGCGAGGGGATGGAGCTGGCGGTCGTGGAGTGTTGATCCGGCCGGCCTGCCATGTATTGTATAACACTATAACCCTTGAAGAATCTAAGAAAATTAATGTCCAAGACTTGAGGAGGTGATTCACCGTTGGATTCCTTGTGTTGTTTGAAGAGAAGAGAAGAAAAGAAGAAACGAGACGAGATGCTTGGGTTGGGCATTGTGCAGGCGGACCGCACGATGGAGTGCACGGGCGTCATCGCGTGTCAAACAAGCTGCTGTGCTAGCTAGATCCGCACGTTCTCGCTCCGCAGTCGCCAAATACAGACGAGATTGACAGGATCCACTTTCGGGCGAGGTTTCTCTCTCTGTAAGTCGTTGTCGCGGCCCAAGGAAACTCCGACGAACGGAGTACATGTCGGCAGCCTGCGGGTCGGCGGATCGGGCTCCAGACACCTCCACCGTCACCTCCTCCTCCATGAACTACGCAGCCCAGACGCCCAAAGTGATCGCGTGCTGTGAGTGTGTGTTGGTGTGTGCTTCTCCCTTTGTACTATTGGTCATGGGGTGCTGCTGCTCCTCTCCCTCTCTCGGATCCGTAACTGCATTATTTCCAAATAAATGTGTGCTTCTGTTTATATTCTGTCCACAACATGTTTGATGTTATGCTTATGAGGAGTTGAACTTCATTTTTTTTTCAGGTTCTTCTTTGGTGTATCGGCCCCGGTGTAATTTGTTTTCAAAAGTGAGCTTGTTGTACAGTTCAATTCATCTAGAAAAATTAACTTATGGAGAGTTGTTCATGATGTTGCTTGCATTTTTTTTGTCTAACAAACTGGATGCTTAAATTTTGGATATAAACATTGAGTAGGTGCTGAAATGTTTTGCTAATAATAGTTTTCAACTTGCTTTTAGCAGAACTGCAAAACTATAAAAATATATCAAAACTATTATAGCTCAATCAATTTGCATATTTTAATTATGTGCACTCAATGGACTTGGTGTCCAGGACATGGACTTAAGATCAAGTTGGTTTATGTGCTGATGTTCTTCGATAGAATAATTGTTCTTCTCCTTTAATATGATGCGCCATTGACTTATTTTTTTAGATGCTCACATACACACACAAACGACATCCAGTAAGCGCTTGGAATACCCGACAGATTGAAAGCATAGAAGCAAAGATTTCCAATACGAGGCCACGATGCCCGACAGAGATGTAGCCAATATGCGCCCAATCCTTATTTCTTGATGTTGGAACAACAAGTAAGAGCATGTTCATGTTTACTTATTATGTTTTTTGAGAAATTTATGGGATTTACAAGCTGAAATTATTGACTGCTTCAAAAGATGTTTTAACCAAAACTGTTTGCATGATATTTCCCTGATTCTGCATTCATGGAATTGCTAAAAAAATGAACAAGTTCAGTGATAATTTTGTTCCTATTAATATTTCGTCCAAGGTGCCAGTTTGTTTCTTCACTTGATGATCTTCTAATGTTGAACTATCCATGTACTTATCTTTAAAGTTATGTTGTCTTTCTAATTCTCTATCTAATAATAAAGTACGGATTGCTTCTGCCTGTCTGTCGCACCCTTTTGCAAAAAAATCGAACCGTTATTTTACATTTTTCAGAAAAACCTGGCCTTTTAGGTAATTCATTTGCGGATCATATTTAAGTGAAACAAATGCTTTTCTAAACTATCCGTATCTTTTAAACCGTAACTTCAATTTAAACATGTTATATATGAAATTTGATTACAAAAATATCTAGAATATGAATATGAGATTATTTTTACATGTTAAGTATTTTTATTTATTATTTTGGAAGAAATTTAAGTCAAACCAATGATTTTCTAAATCATCCGTATCTTTTAAACGGTAACTCAGATTTTAACATATTGTATATGAAATTTTATTTGAAAAATGTGCGGAATCTGAATATGATGTTAATTTTATCTGTTAAATATTTTTTAAATATTGTTTTGGAAGCAAACTTATAATCTATAGCACGATCCGTTTTTCTTTCGTGTCGGAGGCGATCCAGATTGCAAATAAACACCAACTATAACCATATAGGGGAAAAAACATCGATTACTACACATGCATACCTCTGAAAAACATCACTGAAAAAAACAACAGATTTTTCATCATGAGAGTGAGAAAAAGCGAGAGAGGAAGAGAGAGACGCCTTAGGATTAACCATATTCAAACATGTTTTAGTTTGTATGAGCACTGAGGCCACCGCCGGCGAGAGTGAGAAGGAGAATAAGCGGCAACAAAAATATGATGCCTCGCTAAACTAAAGGAGATGGGCCTATTATGGTATGGTTGCTGGGTTAAGAGCGTGTGTTATATTTTTTTTTCTTCCGTTGCAACACACGGGCTCTTTTGCTAGGAGAACAATTGTAATGTAGTATGCCATCCAGGAGCTCAATGTGTTAGGTTCTGTCCATGAGCTGCAAGAACTCGCTTAGTGCTTGAGGGCACCTGCTAGGCGACACTTGCCACCATCCGTCAACAATGGCTTGTTTCACCGTTCTCTCCCATGCTCTATTCTTAACTGCCGCGAATAAGTTTGGCAGGAGATCTTGGATTCGCTCTTTCCACGACCACCAATCTGTCCAAAACAGTGCCACCTCTCCATTTCCTAGCGTGCACTTGGTCGCCGCCTTGTAGACCTGCAGGCGTTGTGCACTACATCCGTGAATCTTTTGAGAATTTTTGAAGCATACATCCGTGAATCTTTTGAGAATTTTTGAAGCATCATTTCATACTGGACCCAACGCCCCTACAGGAATACGAGTGTTCCGCCAAACATCGAATGGTTTCACAATAATAAGAACAAGTACAAGAATTATATAGCTTTTTTTGCAGGTAAGAGAATAAAAGAACATATATAAAATCATAAGAATTTCACAAGCATCAGAATATGTGATAAAATAATATTACAAATTAACATTGTTAGTCAATGGCTGTGCGTCAAATATAAATCCGTTACTGTACACGGCAACCTTGTTCTGCATTGCCCAGCAATCTAAGGCTAAGAGATATTCTCTGCAGGGGCAAAAAATAGTGCAACATTAAAACATGATATCTCCCGTAAGGTTCCAATGCAAATTTAGCCTTGAAGCTAACCTCCCGAGTATCACAGAGGCGTAATAGTTCTAATTTATCCGATGGCCTCAAATTAATCAAGTTGACAAGCTGCAGAAAAGAAATAAGTACATGGCACCAAAGATATTATATTCTTCACCTAAGAATCTGCAGGAACAAGGCTTACCCAAAAACTGAACTTCTCAGGGTCCCGTGGTCCAGGAATGCTCTCAAGATCAAAGTGTCTTGCCCGGCCCACTGCATCCGGTAAAACAGGTGAAAGTAGAACACTATGGGCATCGGTTGAGCACCAAACAACAAACACAGCTTTCAAAGAGCAGAACATTCATATACTGTTTTGAGAGTGTGAGTACTGACAGTGGTGGACGCACCTAAGTCATGGGTCTATAAAAGCCCAGTCTTATTTGTCAAGACCCCAAAATAAAGTAGAATCCCGAAAGATTTAGAAATATTTGAAGTTAAAGAAAATAGACTATAAATATATGTATACATTGTCAGGATCCCGATGGATCTGACAAGGAGAGATCAGCAAGAACTCGGAATTCAACAAGATTCAGTAGAACAGGGATAAATTGCAGGTCAAAGAAGATAAAATGCTGGAATTTAAAGAACTGAGATAAAGAAATAAATGCATGATAAAATTTGGGTTTTGATTTCTTAGCAAAACAATGATACAAGGATAGCCTTATAAAGAATCTGGCCGGTACAAGATAACATCCCATGAGAAATGATGATAATGCCCCTAGATAATAAATCCTTAATACACCGTTATCCTAATACCCTGACATATATGCATAAGGTACTACGGGTTCCAAAGCCTAGCTTCACGACCTATGCATACTCGGTCTTATGGTTTGCGTAGCATGCCTGAGAGTGAAATGCATCATATCCAGTTCCCATGGTGCTTGAACTTTTTTCAATAGAATCACTAAATTGAAAAGGATATTCATGCAATGTATTGAGAATATCATACCAGGCCTTATGGTTTCTCTGGTACGCCTAATGTACGTCCTAGCCAGTTCTGAAGCTTCATTGGCCCTTTCAATTAGCTGCAAAGAATTAGATCAAATATACAACTCAATACAATTGTTGAGGTAGAATTATCTGTTTACCATTGCATTGTGGTTAAACATGCTATTTATTTTCCATTGAAGTGGAGATGATGGCATGATGCACGCAGAACAATAACCACAAACACAGAGAAAAGAAACCACAAACAAGGCATTAATTTCTTAATGGAACAACCAATTGCCACACAATGTACAAAAAATAAAATTCAGATGCCAAACCACTTTCCACAGTAAAATACTGGAAAATTTTGCATGCATGAATTATACTGGAAAAAAGTAATGTACGCCACTTTCCACAGTACTTGTAGCTTTTTGCAGTATTATGTATTTGTCACAAAACCACTTACTAAGAAGTTATCAGCTCTTGTGTAAGTAGATATGTGTATAAAGTTTGAGATGTGCTGGCAAAGAAATATCTATTTTCATATAGTTGTTTTCCTTTTACTTCTTTTGGTTTTAGAAGATAGAATGGCATATTCCACCACATTTGAACTTCTTCAAGCACTTCTGGTAACAAAAGGAGATAAATTTGATAAGGTAATTAGTTTTTACATCTCTTCTCTCTTGTGATCCTTCTGGTAAAGAAACATCTTGGAACCATTCAATTTCAGCAACACGGTACCTACAATAAAAAACAACAAAAGTAAGAAATTGTTGAAAAGGGCTGGAACAAGACAACAGGTTCTTCCAGATAAATTATGCATCATATAAACATACTCCCTCTGTTTTTACTTACTTCGCATATTAGCTTTGTCTCGAGTCAAACTTCGTACACTTTGAACAAGTTTATACAAAAAATTATTGACATCCAGAATACCAAATCAATACCAGACGAACCAATCATTCAATTCATACCATATATATTTGTTATTGTTGAAGTTTAGATTGTTTTCGATAAACTTGGTCAAACTTTATAAAGTTTGACTTAGATCAAAGCTAATATGCGGAGTAAATAAAAACTGAGGGAGTATATAGAGCATTCTGGACTCACCCATCTTCATCCCAGGATCGCAAGATACGAAACCGTCGTGAACCTTCCACCTATGAACAAAAGAATTATTTACCCTCTGATAATAGCTTCAATTTTAAAATTTAATTGTTTTTGACAAGTCAATAAGAAAAGAGGCCAAACCCTCAAACTGATCAATATTGAGAAAAGCTGCTGGATCGAACACCTACATCCACAAACCAGCTCCCACGCCGACCTCGCCACGTTCCGGCTGTCGAGGCGCACGCATGACCCCAGCCGGCATTCGTCGCGCCGCCATCCTCGACGTTGTCGAGCAGGTCCCTGCGCGCCTGAGTTCCGACGCACCGACCATCCGGATGCTGGCCTACCCCATCAACATCGCACTCTCCCGCGCCGCCATGATTAGGGATCCCCCACCCGCCGTGCTATAGGGTGTTGGCCCCGATGGAGACAGAGGCGCCGGCGGCGACCGTGACCCGGCTCATGGCCGTGGCCCAGGGCGCGCACACTACCGCGGCCACAAGCGCAGACGTACAGACGCACATCCCTCCAGTTGTGTCGATGGCATGGCGATGGACGACCTAGCATGGCGTGCTGGCGGCCGCAACGCTCGTGCAGACGGGGTGGCCATATCCGCATCCGCACTGCCCACCGCCAAGAGGCGCGCACAGGCAGATTCTTCGGACGCTTGGAATCCTTGGAACCAACCAGGAAATCACCGCGGCAAAGATGAAGGCCTAGGATGACGTGTTTGCCACACCGATACCGCTAACGGTCCTCACAGCAATTGCCGCATTGGTTGATCGAGAGATCCCAGCATGCATGGCGTCGCTAGTGACCACGTCGCGTGCGAGACTTAGGTCGCAGCTGATACTGTCTCCATGGATCACGGCCATAAAATAGCGATATGGAACGTGTGCGGTCTCAATGCACGGGCACGGCGCCATGCCATTCGAGCATTGCTAGACACCACAGGGACCTCGATTGTTTGCTTGCAAGAAACGAAAATGGCATTGATCAGTTCGTCGGTTATCCTCGACACGCTTGGTGCAGAATTCGATGACTACACGTATCTTCCAAGTCAGGGCACGCGGGGTGGCATACTTCTTGCGTGGAAGAGCAGGGACGTGACTGTCACGAACCCATTGTTCACCACTAACGCGCTCACTGCTAAGATCTCCACGGTCGCGGGCACGCCCTGGTGGCTAATTGTGGTCTACGGGCCACAAGACGACGCCGGTAAGATAACTTTCTTACAGGAGCTCCACGATGTCAGGGCTAACTGCCCCAGGCCTTGGATGTTATGTGGTGGTTTTAACCTCATCCTCCGCGACGAGGACAAGAACACGAACAACCTCAACCGGCGCATGATGGGCAAGTTTCGCCATCTAACTAACGATCTAGCGCTCCAGGAGATCTACCTCACCGGCCAGCGCTACACATGGTCAAACGAGCAGTCGCCGCCGGCGTTGGTGCATCTCGACCGCGTGCTATGCACCCCGGACTAAGACGATGCACACGGCGAGTGCCACCTCCGATAATTCACGTCCGTCGTGTCGGATCACTCCCCACTTCTGCTGGACTGCTCGCCAATGCCCAAGGCCCACCCACGATTTCACTTCGAGGAATACTGGCTGCGCTTGGAGGGAGTCCACGACACTGTGACTGCAACCTAGGCATCCACTTACGACGCCGACCCTCGTCAAGTCTATACTAAGTGCAATCCCCGTGCATCAGTTGCTCGCATTCGCGCCCCCAAAGAAAATGCTCAAGCAACTTGAGAACTTGGCGGCCTCAATGTTCGCGGCCTAGAGCGCCCCGGACTTGCGCTACGGCTCCGCTAGTTGTGGTTCTCCAGAACGGATCCCGAACGAGCGGGGCAAGGACTCAACCTACAGTTTTCGGTGGAGGAACTGGCGCTTTTCTCGGCATCCACTACCAGGGCCATTGGGAATGGTCTACCGCCTTGTTCTGGGAGGATCGTTGGATCGCTGCGCAGTCAGTCTGCGAGCTCCTCCCCAAGCTATATGGCTGCATCCCCAAGCGATGATGCAAGACAAGAACGATGGTAGAGGGGCTCAATGGCAACATGATGCGGAGCATCCCAAGGTCATCCCCATGGACCTACCTTCGTCTCCCCAAGTGCCAAGTGGACCGATGACACGTGCACGTGCAAGAGACATCTCTCCTCTCGCAATTCCCTTTCGAAACACATGAGACATGGCTACTACCTCAAACGGAGACACTTTGCATACTCAGGTACCAAGGAGCTAGCAATGGACAAGCTAAAGAGCAAGGCTGAACGTAGGGAGAAGAGGTACGTGAATACGGAGAAGAAAACGAGCAAGTCATCAGCTACCCAAATGATCCGGACCAAGTCCCGGACGATCCGGACCTCGGCCCGAACGATCCGGCTACCGCGCACCAAGACTACCGCAGCCTCCTCGACGAAGCCGGACCAGCTCCCGAATCATCCGGACGGAGCCGGACATCCGGACCAGGACCCGGACGACCGGACCAGCCGTTGCCTCCACGACACACCGGACGATCCGGGCGGTCGCCGGATCATCCGGACCCTCGAAGCCTGGATCATCCGGACCACCATCCGGATCATCGACCTTGCCTGCATGCATGATTTGGGCCGGAGCCCATGTAACTCCACCTACCCCTAGGCTATATATACTCCAACTCCGCCCATGTTCTCAACATTGAGATTGAGCCTTGCTCATCCACTTATCCCTACTCCTTTGGAGACCGAGACCTCCTAAAGGAGAAGATCCCCCAAGTGGATTCAAGACCCCTCTTGAGGGAAGATCCCCCTAGTGGATTCAAGAACTCTTTCCTCGCGGATTGGGATGAACTAGCTACCGTGTACCTTGTTGACTTTGGATCTTGTATCTCCCCTTTGTGTATGTGGATTAGCACATATGTGACTGGATCTCGTTGATTTGAGAGTTTTCCTCTCTTGTGTTCATCATGTTCTTCGGGAAATCCCCTCCATTTTGTGAAAGATCGACCATTAGGGTTCCACACTACATCATCTTGGTATATAAGCCATGGTTGATCACGAATTTGGAGCCCTTACCCCCACTTTCTAGCCTAATTTTGTGTGTTTTTGTCCAATTTCAAAAAAAAAACACAAAAAATAGCCATACCAAAAATTTTGTGATCTGTTGGTTTGATGATGTTTTGTTGAATTTGATTTGTGGATTCGTTGTGTTGCAAGTGGACCTACCTATTCCCCACCTCCCCACCACGAAATCCACCTAAAATCCTCACAATTTTTTCTTTCTCTCCACCATTTTCTTGTTAATCCTAAGCCCTAGCCCTAGCAAGTTGACCTGCCTGGATCATCCGAACCAGCCCGGATCAGCCGGATCTTCCGGCTTCCACTGACAGAACTGAATTTTTTGACAGAAATTTCAGCCACCGCCCACACTTCCGCATTACCACCTCTTCCACATACCACCACCGCTTTCCGCAACCACCATCTCTTATCCGCTACCACCTCCGATTTTGACACGTTTGTTTTGAGAATCTGAGTTGCAGTTTCCGTTTCCTAACGTGTTTCGGCTACTTAGGGACAGTTCGACACCGACATCACCGCTGCTCATCTTCGCCACAGATTCGTCATCAACAACAACCACTTTACCTTAGTGCCACCATCAACCGTGAGCAAGGACGGTAACCTCAACGACATCTTCGGATACTCTCCCTTGCCATTGCATTGTTAACCCCGAGCCCATTTTTGCGTCACTTTCCTATCGAGACTAGCCGTTTGAGTATTGTCGGGCAACGTTCCTTCCATTGCATGCATATATCATCGTATCATCTCTTGTGTTATGAATTGTTCCCGCATATACATCATTGCTACCTTGGTTCGAAAATTTCGCACAAGTGGCCAAAGGAAACTACCAAAAGAGAGAAAACTTTTAAGCAAAGAGAAAACAAAGAGCTTGTAAGCAATAGCCATAGCATCGCCACATTGCATATCAAATTGTCATATTCGATCATCTTGAATCATCGTGAGAGAATCACCAGGAGCCATACATACATAGCATACTTGCGATAGAAAGTAGATACGTTTTGTCTCTTATAGGTTGTGCACAAGTTTCGTATCCGCCTATTGAGCAATCGTGCGTCTCTCTAGAGTTGTGCAACAAGAGCATTTTCCGTGGATTCCACATTTTGAGCTCGTTCCTTGGTTGCACGACCCCATTTATCTATCTGTGTGTGTTTCCGTGTGCCACATATTGCTTTGGTCTACTTGAATCACTTGCGAATTTGTGAATCTCTTTCAACATTATTGAATTTTGCCAACAATTGCATAAATTTTGTGCCACCGTCCTCACCTAGCTACTCCAAAAGCTTTACTTGTGTAGGTGTGAGAATTGAGATCCGGTACCAATTGTGCTACTTCCATAATACTACATTGGGTGATCTTTGATCCATCTTCCACATTGGATAAGATACATTTGGTCTAGTTCTTTGATTTCTTCCACTCACATATTTGCTTGAGATGATGGATAGGTCAAGTACTTCTACCAACCCACTCTTCATCAAGTAAGAAGAGGAGCCCAACAACTACATCACCAAGAATCAACTATTCGGCGTACATAGAGCTTTGCACCAAGCGAATGAAACATTGGGCGACCACATCGACCAACTCACCACCGACTTGCGACAATCCAAGCAACGCACAAGGGACTACCTTGACGACAAGCTATCATCGCAAATGGACGAGTTTCGTGCTTTGATGGTCAACCGTTCTTCCACAACTTCGTCATCAAGACGGCGCCATTCAAGTCGACACTTTTCGGATTCTTTCTCGGATGCAAGTCTTCCACGAGCTCGTCCGCATCGTCGCCAAGACCATGAAGAACATCAAGCTCCACAAAACCCATTTCATGGCAACGGTTTACAAGACCGCCTTCGAGAACGTGAACGACATCGTCGTCAAGCAAATGATCCCATGGATCAAGAGCAAGCTCCAATACGCCAAGATGACCAAGTAAACCAGGATGGCGATGCACTTCGACAAGAGTAACAAGGCCGTGACGAACAAGCCCTC